ATTAGGCTCTTTGCCCATTTTAAAGTTGGGTTATTTGCTTTTTTGCTATTGAATTGTTTGAGTTCTTGATTTGGTTTGAATATTAACCCTTTATTAGATGTGTGATTCGCAAATATTTTCTCCCATTCTATTGGTTGTTTCTTCACTCTGTTGATTGTTTTCTTGGCTGCAAAGAAGACTTTTAGTTTGATGCAATCCCATTTGTCTATTTTTGCTTTGTTGCCTGTGTTCTTGGGATAATATCAAAAAATTCATTGCCTGGAGCAATGTAATGGAGTTTTCCCCTATGTTTTCTTCTAGTAGTTTTAAAATTTCAGATTTTATGTTTAAGTATTTAATTCATTTTGAGTTGATTTTTGTATATAGTGTGAGACAAGGGTGTAATTTCATTCTTCTGCATGTGGATATCCAGTTTTCCTAACATCATCTATTGAATAGACTACCTTTTTCTATTGTGTGTCCTTGGCAGCCTTGTCAAAAATCAATTTGGGCATCTATTTTGTATGAGAGAAGTAGCTCAGGGAAAGGATATATGTGGACTCATGGACATGGACATTGGTTAATGACTATCACTCATAACAGCTGGGGAATGGGTGCATCAGCTGCTAAAGAGGTCCTGGGAAGGGCATCAACAAGGTCTACTAAAATTCATTCCTTGCATTGTTCAGATTCTCTTGTTTCTGGACTTCAGGTGGGCAGTTTTTATTTTCTCATTCATCACTGGTGTTACCTCCTCAACCCCCTCCTTCACCCACTCTAACAGATGACATTTATATACATAATTTGGCAGTATACCTTTGCTCAGGATGATCTAATTATCAGCAGAACAAAGGTGAGCTTGTTCCTGGAGGGTACCAACTATATCACTGAGTAAGGACCAGCGCACCTGCTCCAGTTTATACACCACCCCAGCTCCCCTGGATTCTGCTTGCGTTGACTGCTTGCTTTGTTTTTAGGTTGGAGTGGCTCTAGTGGCAACTCACTCTGTTCTCATGGTCATAAATCCCTACTTACTCATCGCTGCCACTGCTGCCGCCACCACAGACCAAGAACCCCACTTGCACAGTGCTACCTGCTAAGGAGAAGTTGCTGTGCCTGAGCACTGGACCACATGGGCTCACACAGACTTCCAACCAGGTAAAAGGGTGATAAGGGCTGCAGATGTCAGCCACGTTTTCTTCTTGACCACCTGCTGCTGGAACAATGGGCCATGAGCAGAGTAGAGTGGTCACGGAGATTGAGAACAGAGGCTATTCATGGGCCCAAGAACATGGACACTCTCACCAAAGTCAATTTGGGTCTTGCCACTGTTAATCACCTAACTTGCCAGCAGCAGAGACTATCCCTGAGTCTTCGAGATGGCACTGCTTTTGGAGAGACCAGGCAGTTATCCAGTGAGAGGTTGACCCCTCTACTTTGGAGGGGATGGACATTCATCTATATCACCTTTGTTACCTGCTCTGGATATGAGTTTTCCTTCTCTGCCTAAAATTCCTCTGCTACCACCACCATATAAGGGCTGACAGATTCACCAATCCATCGACCTGGCTGTCACACATTTTACCTCAGAGCAAAGGACTCATTTTATGGCAAATAATGTAAAATGATGGGCTCATTGGTCTTGTTATATACCATGCAACCCAGAAGCAGTCAACCTAATGGAATGATAAGCTGGCCTGTTGAAAGCTCAGCTAAGGTGCCAGCTTAGAGACGACACCCTGTAGGGTTGAAAGTTGGAGCACTGCTTTCCAGGGTGTGGTACATATGCTGAATCAACAACCAGTCTATGGTTCAGTGTCCCCAAATAGCTAGAATATATGAGTCCAGGAACCAAGGGATAGAAGTAGAATTGATCCCTTTAGTTATCATTCCCAGGGACTTACTTGTGGAATTTATGCCTTCCTGTTTCTGCAAACTCAAATTCTTCCACTTTAGAGGTCTAAGTTTCCAGGAAGAAAATACTTTCTCCAGTGGAGGTGGGAAAGGCTCCATTGAACTGGATGTTGTGACTATCATTCAGCCATTTGGGACTCCTCATAACAGTGGACCAGCAGGCAAAGGAAATGGTTACTTTATGGCTAGAGTATTTGGCCTTAATTACTGTGAGAAGCTAGGGTTGCTGCAATGCAATGGGAGAAGATAGGAGTATGACTGCAACCCATGGATTTTCTGGAAGTAGCCCCTATACTTTTCTGCTCACTGGTAATTGTAAATGTGCAGTTACAACAACCAAAACCTAACAAATGCAAAGCACCTAACACCTCAGTCCTCTCAGGGTGGAGGTCTGGGCCACTCTGTCAGACTACAGCACAGGCTCACTGAACTGCTAGATGGTGGAGTGGAGAGAACCTAGAGTGAGTGGTGGAAGTGAGATGCAAAATATCAATTAGGACTCTGGGATCAGATGTGGCAGTGGAGACTGTAGCTTGATTTACCAATCCTTTTTACATCTTTTCAGGAGATTGCAGTTGGCCATTGACACCAATTGCCAGGAAAGACTGTGATGCCTGCTCACTGACCTGAGGGAAATTTTAGGGGCTTAGCTTCTCTGATAGCTTCCTGAATGGGCTGAGTGATGTGACCTGGGAATGGAAAGATGCTTGCTTCCCATGCAGAAACCCTGACCAATGGGATTCTGAAGATGGGTATATGCATGTATCCACTGGTAGAACCATGAGTGGTGCTGCATCCTTAATAGTTAGAATACATGGATGGGGTTTGGAACCAACATAAAGACAAAAGTAGAATAGCTATTAATCCCATCCTGTAGAGATAACCCCCATAATTATGTTGATGAATTACTTCCAGTTTTTCCTATGCATATATAAAATATATAGCTACAAAATTGATATTCTATAGGAAGATTTTTATATTCCTTTTAAAAGCATTACATATATTGAATATATTGAATTTTATTGAAGAGCTAACGATCCTAACACCCAGATACATAAGACCCATAAAGAGATTTAGACTCAACGAGACAGAAAATTAATAAGGATATCCAGGACTTGAACTCAGATCTGGAACAAGTAAACTCAATAAATATTTATAGAGCTCTCCACTTTAAATACACAAAATATACATTCTCTACCTTAAATACACAAAATATTGATCGGCCATTATTAATACCCATTTTTAGAATAAAGCTACATTCCCGTTCTCTCTCCGTCTTTTTCTTCCTCTTTCTTCCTCTCCTTCACTCGTTTTTTTTTCTTTCTTTCAAAAAAAAAAAGTAAAAAAAGAAAAAAAAAAGAGAAGAATGTAAATGTTTTTTATCAGACTTAAGATTGGTGTTGATATTAATGCTACACAGGTATAATAAAGCATGTCCAACCCCTACTTCCCCTTATGGCCTAAACCAGTCTTTCAGGTTAAATTTTACTGTGTCCTGGCCAAGGAGGAAGTCCATTCAGATGGTTGCAAGGGGACTTCAAACTTTATTTTGTTTTACAAAGCCATGCAGCACCTTGAATGTTTTGCTTTTTAGATACTTCTTAGCAATTCTAGTTCATTGCTCTTAATTTCTTCCTTCCACAAAGTTATAGGACATAGACATAATTTTGCCAAGTTCTCTGCAACTATTCAACAAAGATATTCTTCACCTTAGTTTCTAGTACTTCGTTCCTAATTTCCATCTGAGATGTCATCAGAATGGTCTTTACTGTTTATATTTCTAGCAGCATTTTGATCACAACCACTTAAGTCATCACTAGGAAAATTTAGGCTCTCTCTGTAGCTCTGCTTTTGACTCCTCACCAGAATCACCCTTCAGGTTCCATTCACAACAACAACAACAACAACAAAAAAAGAAGTTTTCCATATGAAATGTTTTTAACACAAATTTTTATGAGTTCAAAATATTCAATCACACAAGTTTATCATATAAGCTTTGTTCCATGTCTGGGATTCCAGATTTTTGTTATTAAAAATGTTGAGATTTAAATTTTTATGCATGAATCTTTGTGCATGTCTTTGATTCTTTCTTAAATACAAATTCCTAGCAATAGTTCACTTGGCCAAAGGTGTTTAGCACACCCTCAGAAGTGATGGGTGTTACCAGCCTCAAGCCCTGGCTGTCCTGTCCCTGTTCTGCCCTGTTTTCTCTCCTCCAGTCAGTCTCCCATGACAAGGGTTTGTATTGAGTAGGCTCTAGGTTTTGGACTTCCTGCTGGTTTGGGTGAAGCCATTTGTAGATGGTTGTTGCTCATGTGGACCTTGTGATGCTGTCTCTAATCTGTCAGTATCTGTTTTGTAACAATGACTCAGTGAGAGGCAATCTTCTCTGCATATCACATGAAAGCTTCACGGAGGGAAGATCTTTTCTTATCGATGTGGACTATGAGGAGGACTCCTTGTGGCATCAACTGCCTTTTTTATATCATGTATCTAAACCAGTGGTCTTCCACTGAGAGCAATCCTTCTTTCCCCCTCCCTCCCTTGCCTGGGGACATTTAGCAATGCCTGGAGATATTTCGGTTGTCACAACTTTGTGGTGGAGAAGGGGGTGTTGCTACTGGCATCTAGTAGGTAGAGGCCAGGGATGCTGTAAACATCTTATATCTTGTTTATAATTCAAAATGTTCTTAGTCATTCTGAATATCACTAAAGAAAAATCAGAATTGGAATAGGGTTGATGATTAAGGCAAGGAAGGATTTGGTGTCATTTCTTGAGCTGAAAGTATGGATCCTGCCTTTCCAGAGAAAAATCTCTTTTTTTCCTCAAATTTTTTTTCCATTTTTCCTCTCTGTCTGTCTCTCTGCCTCTCTCTCTCTTTTCTCGCTTTGTCTCTGTATGTCTGTCTGTCTCTCTCTCTTCCTCTCTCTCTCTCTCTCTCTCTCTCTCTCTCTCTCACACACACACACGCACACGCACACACACACACACACACACACACACACACACCCCTTCCAAATTCTTGGGTGCTTGGACTGTGAATCAGGTTGCTATGTGCAGGGAGAAGAGAGAAGCTGAGAGGGAACACACACTCATGACTGGGAGCTGGATCTTTATTGAGGTTTATTGAGAGTTCTGTGACTGGTAGGACACTTCTGGAGGCTCCGGGTTGTGGCCAAGGGACCAAGGGCAGGCCAGAATGAGTGGCACACACTTTGCTGCTCAGGTCCAGTTCCAGGTTCTGTTTAAAGCTGGCTCAGGATCCAGGGTTAATTTGCCTGCAGGACCTTGTTGATCCAGGGCCGGTAATGGGAGATTCGGGTGAAGACAGCAGGGGGCTTTGCGTCCACCCGTCCGTAGGATACGATGCCCTGGGCCACCCCAGCACACAGAAGAGGGCCCCCGGAGTCTCCCTGTAGGGGGAGGAGAGAGAGAGAGTAGAGCAGAAGGTGAGCCCGGGAAGTCCTCCACTCCTGCCTGCTAGCCAGCTTAGAGTCACAGTGAGACCTAAAGTCAAACCTGGGAGCTGGGGCTCCTCGTTTATACATCTAGTTCTGATGCCCCTTCTTCCTTTCTTGGGACAGTCATCCACATTCTTCACGTTACCCCATTCCCCCAGTGCAGTAGACTGGAATGGACGATCAGAGGCTGTCTTGGGCCATGGGAGGACAGACAGTTCCTGTGATGCCAACCCTGTCACTGGCTGATAGGCTTCTGACCCCATCTTCTAGGAGCATTCTGATCCCTGAACAGTGAGTTTTGGAGAAGAAACCTAGTTGGAGGATCACCTTAAATGCAGATTTTGTCTTCTTGGGATTACCCACACACAGCTGAAGATTGTGGTCAAAGTCTCTGAAGTGGCTGCAGGCCTGGGGATCCATGAGTCTCAGCTTCACCTCTTGCAGAGTGTCTGAGATTGGCTCCGTCACACCTGTTCTTCCCCAGCCAGCCACCCGGCACATTCTCCCAGGTGGGACAAAGTTGAATTGGGGTGGAAGGGGGAGTGTCCCCACGGCCAGTGCCAGGTTGGCTTTCTCCTTCAACTGTGAAGGGAATGAAGGACTGTCAGTCCTCGAAATGGGCTCTGGACAGTTGGAAGTGTCAGGGAGGGACAGGGTGAGTTGCTTCATGTTAGAGCTAAGTCCTAAGAAAAATTCAGGGCAATGAGGACCTGAAGGAGAAGCTTAGGAGAATGGGAAGTGGAAAAGGAGAAGAGAGGTGTTGTCACCTTTAGTAACATGATATCGTGGTGAAAAGTAGACTCGTTATATTTTGGATGACGGAATTGCTTGACAACCTCAATCCTCTGCCATGTGTCTTCTTTCTCTGTTATGTTATGGGCTCCAAGGGTGACTGTTATAGACCTGTTGTGAGTAAGAAGGAAGGACAATGAGTGACAGTGATGGCTTGGGGTTTCTCCCAAGGTGAGCTCATTCTGAGAAAAGGGACTGGGGTCTCTCATTGAATTGCTGGACTCTGCCCATCTTCCTTTTCATTGACCACTTGTGCTGTTTGGGGCTCAGGTTTTTTTTATGAAAGAGCTTTCTGAGGGAAGAGACACAATTTCCAGGACCCCTGGAATTGTTGGAATGTACAGGCCAGGGAGGACTCAGGGGACAGGGTTTGCATTTTCTAATTCAGGGAGCCCATATGAGGACCAGCCCCCTGAAGCAGGAGATATCAGTTAAAGGGGAAAGTGAAGGTCTCGTGTGGACCCTGTTCTCTGCCTCCCATAAAAGGATGGGTTCAGGACCCTGAGAATTAGAGGCCAGTGTTCTTGAAAAGGCCATAGAGGAAGTGGCCCTGAGAATGGGTAGGTCTCTGAAAAGCAAACTGTGTATCTTGAGTAGGGTAGGGGTGAGGGGAGCTACTGCTACAGGAGGGACCTTGGATGGGGCCTACTTTTCCTCCAAAGATGAGCTTAGCTCACAGTGACCGAGGCTCAAGGAACCATTCAGTCATGGACTAAAGTCTTTCAGCTTAAGTCTTCCCTCTCCTGAAGTTGACTGGACCCAGGACCCTCTCTTCAGGCCCCAGTGCAGGTGTATCCCTGGTGCTACTCTGGTTGTTTCTGTCCTGTTTGGAGATAAATGGACCCTGTTGTCTCACCTTCCTGCACAGTGAGCAGCTGTCAGCACAAAGTTCCGTCTTATCAGGAAGGCACCACAAAATTTCGGGGGACCCCTGGAAGTGACAATTTCCAGGAAGGCCATGTAGGGGCGGGAATGTGGCTTGCATTCTGTGCCTCCGATGATCTCCCCTGGAAGAACACAGGCATTGGTACTCTCTCCAATGAATGAACAAATTGGGTTAAAGCTGAGCAAGGCTTCCCTGGAATCTCATTCTCACCCTGTGTTTTGCCCATCTTCCCTCTCCTGTCTCCTGTATTTCATATCTTTCCCCACCCACAACCTCCCACATGAAATGTCATTCTTTCCTCCAGGTGCAACAGCTGGCCCTGCCTTAGCTCCATTCAGATGTTTTCAACTCAGATTTCCCCCACTCCCACCTTGCCCTGGCCCACCCTCCTCTGTCTCTATGTAGAACCCGATGTTCAGATTCCCGTTTTAGGTTTCTCCACAGCCCATGAGTATGGTCAGAGTGAGCAAATCACAAGGTAATGGGTAGCCCTGATGCTCAGAAGATTAAGAGAACATATCGATTTTCCTGGGGATACCCCTCTTTCTTCCACTTGCTCTGGGCTTTTCTGCAATCGAGGTGGGATTCCTCATTCCTGGGAGCTATCCTAGGCTTCAGAGAATGGCAGTGGGTGTGTGTGTGGGGGTGCATCTCCAAAGTGGAAATTTCCTTCTGGGACTCTTAAAGAGAGATCTTGGAACTCTGTTTAAGAGTTAGCTATTTTAGCTCAGGTGCGGTGGCTCATGCCTGTAATCCCAGCACTTTGGGAGGCCGAGGCGGGTGGATCACGAGGTCAACAGATCGAGACCATCCTGGTCAACAAGGTGAAGCCCCGTCTCTACTAAAAATACAAAAATTAGCTGGGCATGGTGACGCACACCTGTAGTCCCAGCTACTCGGGAGGTTGAGGCAGGAGAATTGCTTGAACCCAGGAGGCGGAGGTTGCAGTCAGCGGAGATTGCGCCATTGCACTCCAGCCTGGGTAACGAGCTAAACTCCGTCTCAAAAAAAAAAAAAAAAAAAAAAAGCGTTAGCTATTTTAAGACTAAACATCTTTGTTTCAGGAGCTGATACTGCAGATCTCAGAGGAAAGAACCCCAATACTCACCAGTTTCAGCTCTGGAGTACAGGAAAAAGAGTAGCAGGGGGAGAGGAAGAAGCGGCATCTTTCCAGAGAGGCTGCCTGAGCAAATGCTGGTTTTCCTTTCTAATCTTGGGTTTTATGACTCCCAGCAGGCAAGAGAAGGGCAGGGCTGGTAACCACAGGAACTGCGTGGTGATGTTTTCTTCTCTCAATCTGAATTGGCTGTCTTTCTGATCAGAACTTCCCCCAGAATCACCCTGTGTTTTTTTAGAGAGGAACTTGAGGCCTGAACTCCCAAGTGCTGGTTTCTCAGATGTACCCTCAATGATGGTGCCTTTTCTGGAGTTAGGGGCAGGAAATAGAGGGACCATGTCTTTCTTTTCCAGTTAGGGCAGCTTGTGAAAGGCCCATCAGAAACATGGGGTGGTCTTTGCACTGAACAGTTGGAAGCATGCCTACTTTTTTGGCTATGATCCATAGTCAGAAATGCATATTGCAGAGTCCCAGTGCATGCACAGATGCATGAGAGTAAGCACAAATCAAAAGTTTCAGGAAACAATCTTTATCTCAACCACGTGCAAAGTTCTCTGTTAGTTTCCATTCCACTCTACTCCACTTCACTCCACTCCATTCCATTCCACTACATGTCAAAACCTGAGCAACAACCCCACTTAAAGGATGATTCCTTGCAATTTGAAAAACATTGACCTGGCTGTCTCTCTTCCTCTGAACCATATGTTTTTGGCAGAAGAGAGATCCAGGAAGGGTAGATGTGGGAAAGGAACAGACCCTAGGACAGAACTTTATGCAAAGAGCAATTGGGATTGGAATTCTGAGAGTCTAGGCACATCATATATTGTCACAACTCTTAGAGATATTATTACTTTCATAGCGACCCTATCAATAGGCATTACTGTTATGACCATTATTATGTCATGATATGATATATATATATATTTTATCGGCTATCATGGCTTATGGTTCAGAATTAGATTTTCCCGATTCCAAATCAAGAGCCCTATCTACTCTAGAACTAAAGAGAAATAGAGGAATAGAGTCCTGCCAATGTGGAGGATAAATAAAGATGTAGGAGAAGGGTGTTTGCTCCAGAGATGCTGGGGTTTCCTACTGTTACATTAAGAATCAAGATTTCCACAACAACCTGGGAACACACCATTACTGTCACTTTACAATTGTAGAATTGAGACTCAGACACATTAACATGACCAAGATCACACAACTTATAATATCAGAAGTGGGTTTCAAGCACATACCTGTTATTTTCCCTGGACTTAGAGAAGGGAGTCCACACGATGGACTGCCATTTTCCCTGGAGATTTGTAAGGCATTTAGTTCAAAGGTGGAGATGTGTAGGGAATAAGTGTCTTTTCCAGATCATTTAGCTATGCCCTTGGTCTCAGCTTGGGCTTGTGACCAGAGTGATCCACCCCTAGGTCCTCTGTTGCTTTTAACTCAATTTCCCAAGTTCTATATACAGCTCTTACTCTCTCTAGAATAAAACATTTATACATATTTCTAATGTCTTTTCAAATCTGGGCATCTTAGGTGTCCTTGTACCACTCTTCACTCTCTAGAGGGTTGCCAGAGAATATTCAGAATGCCCAGTTAAATTTGTATTTCAGATGAACAACAAATCATTTTTTAGTTAACTATATCCCAACTATTGAATGAGACATACTAATACAAAAAAATTGTTGTTTATCTAAAATTTGAATTTAACTGGGAGTCCTGTATTTTTATTTGCTAAAGTTGACAACCCTACTCTGGGCTTTCCACCATTAGCAGAAAAGAGGAGAACCTGGAGCTGGAGAAGTCTTGTTCTGTGGTCTTACATCAGTTAGACCAAAAAAGCAGAGGCTTAACAAATCAAAGGTGTTTGTTTTCACTGATATAATTAGAATTGGAAAGGTGGGAAATCTGGGGCTAGTATGATAACCCCATAGCATCAAGATTCAGATCGACCCAGACTTAAGTTTTTCTCTACCTGCCTGGCTGAGGGTGAAGAAATGGAATAGGTACAGCCCCAGTCAGGAGACCAATTTCAGAAACGAGGACTGCACTATCGTCTCACATTTTCTTCTTTGCTCTGTCGTGTGTATACTTCTGTATTTTAAGAGATTTCCTTTTTCTCTTTCTTTTTCCCTTTTTTTTTTGGATATTTTATATGTAGCATGTTGGCAGTGAACTTTATGGTTTAGTGTACAATTATCAAGTTGGGAGACTAGAGAATATCAAATTGAAAATGTGACCAAACTAGTGGTAGAGCAGATCTCACCTGGAGACTCAGTTCTTGCCGTTGAAAGCAGCAACGGTTGAGACTGCATTATTTCAGTTCTGCTGAGTCAAGCCTCATTTTCCTTTATATAAAAGATAGTGAGGAGAGAGGACTCAAGATGGCGCTGTGAGAACAACCCAGGATTGAAGCTCTCGTTGAATCCGCAAAGAGGTGAGTTGGAGTTGCATTTCCAGACTGATCTTTGTTGCCCACAGAATGGGGAAACTCCCAAGTGTAAGGGAGACACGGGACGCCAGGCAGTAAGTCTGCCTGGCGAAGCCAGCAGCCGGGGCGGCGGCGGCCGGCCCTACCCAGCAATCCCCACAGGGCGCGCTTGTCCAGGTGCCCTGTTGAACCGGCAACCTGAGACTTGAGAGGGCTGGACTTGAGACTGAACGAGACTTGGACAGTAGGCCAGCCCAGGGGATTGCAGGGACAGAGCGTTCGGGGTACCCAGTGGGATGAACCGCGATTTCAAACTATCCCGAGCAGCTGGTCCGAGATGCACTGTGGGGGAGGGGCGTCCACCACTACCGAGGCAACCCGCCCCAACTGAGATACACGCCCACTGCTGACGCAGCCAGCCATTGCCGAGGCAACCCGTCTCTACTGAGATACACGCCCACTGCTGACGCAGCCTGCCGTTGCCGAGGCAACATGCTACAACAAAGAGACTCCACCGCAGGGCATGACGGAGACCACAGCAGAGCCTGCAGGAACAGGGCAAATCACACAACAGCAGGGCGGAGACTCGGCAGGCAAACGGTGGCTAGTCTGCCTCCTAGCTGGGCAGGACACCTCAACGGACATCGAAAAATAAAGCCCGAACCCCCCAACACAGAGCATTTGAGAAAAAAAGGATTTTTTTAATGAGCTCTGTTGCAGCAGAATCAAACATAGCAGCCTAACAGCCCTGAATGAACAACAGAGCTCACAGCTCAGAAATTGAGCTCCTAAAAAGAACAGACTATCTCCTCAAGCAGCTCCCTGACCCCTCTATATCCAAAAGACTGACATTTGGCAGGCATCATCCTGGGACAAAGATAGCAGAAAAAGAAACGGGTAGCATCCCTCACTGTGCCACAGCTGCTAGAGGTGCACCCCAGACAAGCAGGGCCTGGAGTGGACCTCAGAAGTCGTACAGTGAAGGGGCTAGGCTGGTAGAAGGAAAACCAAGTAACAGAAATACTTCATCATCAACAATCTGGGTGTCCACTCAGAGACCCAATCGAAAAGTCAGCAACTACACAGACGACAAATGGATAAACCCACAAAGATGGGAAGAAACCAGCGAAAAAAGGAGGAAAACACCCAAAACCAGAACACCTCGCCTCCTAGAAAGGACCAAAACTCCTCACCAGCAAGGGAACAAAGCTGGACGGAGAATGACTGTGACGAAATGATGGAATTAGACTTCAGAAGGTGGATAATGAGAAACTTTTGTGAGCTAAAAGAACATGTATTAAATCAATGCAAAGAAACTAAGGAACTTAGAAAAAGATATGAGGAAATGATAACAAGAATGGATAACTTAGAGAGGAATATGAATGAATTAAAGGAGCTGAAAAACACAATACGAGAACTTCACGAAGCATGCACAAGTTTCAATAGCCGAATTGACCAAGCAGAAGAAAGAATATCTGAAGTCGAAGACCAACTCAATAAAATAAAACGAGAAACCAAGATTAAAGAAAAAAGCGCAAAAAGGAATGAACAAAGTCTCCAAGAAATGTGGGACTATGTGAAAAGACCTAACCTACGTTTGATAGGTGTACCAGAAGGGGACGAAGAGAATGAATCCAAGCTGAAAAATAATCTTCAGGACATCATCCAGGAAAATTTCCCCCACCTAGCAAGACAGGCCAACACTCAAATGCAGGAAATACAGAGAACACCACAGAGATATTCTGCAAGAAGAGCAACCCCAAGGCACATAATCGTCAGATTCAACAAGGTTGAAATAAAGGAGAAAATACTAAGGGCAGCCAGAGAGAAAGGTCAAGTTACCCACAAAGGGAAGCCCATCAGACTCACAGCAGATCTCTCGGCAGAAACACTACAAGCCAGAAAAGAGTCGGGGCCAATATTCAACATTGTTAAAGAAAAGAACTTTCAACCCAGAATTTCATATCCAGCCAAACTGAGCTTCAGAAGTGAAGGAAAAATAAAATCCTTTGCGAACAAGCAAGTACTCAGAGATTTTGTCACCACCAGGCCTGCTTTACAAGAGCTCCTGAAAGAGGCACTACACATAGAAAGGAACAACCAGTACCAGCCATTCCAAAATCACACTAAATGCTAAAGAGCATCAACATAATGAAGAATCTACAACAACTAACAGGCAAAACAGCCACTTAGCATCAAAATGGCAGTATCAAATTCACACATAACAATATTAACCCTAAATGTAAATGGACTAAATGCACCAATCAAAAGACACAGATGGGCAAATTGGATAAAAATCCAAAACCCATCAGTGTGCTGTATCCAGGAAACCCATCTCACATGCAAGGATATACAAAGGCTCAAAATAAAGGGATGGAGGAAGATTTACCAAGCAAATGGAGAGCAAAAAAAAGCAGGAGTTGCAATTCTCATCTCTGATAAAATAGACTTTAAAGCAACAAAGATCAAAAGAGACAAAGAAGGCCATTACATAATGGTAAAAGGATCGATGAAACAAGAAGAGCTAACGATCCTAAACATATATGGACCCAATGCAGGAGCACCCAGATACACAAGGCAAGTTCTTAATGACTTACAAAGAGACTTAGACTCCCACACAATAGTAGTGGGAGACTTTAACACTCCACTGTCAATATTAGACAGATCAACCAGACAGAAAATCAACAAGGATATCCAG